AGTGCACCAGGGGACATGGGGATGGCGCTCTGCCATCCTGCACATCCATCCTCCAAGCTACCTTCCCATTCCTCCACATGCCTGCTGCAGGCCTCCATGTCTCCTGTGGAGACGAGCATATGCCTTCTCTTGGGTTCCTGTCTTTCTTGACCCCATTTTTCCCCTCAGCCAGTGAAAGGACCACAGATGTTCCTGCTCACATCTTGGAGTGTTCATGATCCCCGGACAAGGTTCCACTTGTCTGGTGCTGTGGCAGGTTCCAGCTGGAGTCAGACCAGTAACAAAAACTGCTCTTCAGGAGCTTGCAAGGGAGTCTTTGAAAAATACTCCCCTAGGAGCAGTTTCCCTATCTCAAAAGATTCAGCACAGGGCTTTTATAATACCTAAGCTACACCGTTTTATAGGTCAAGATGCAACTTTGAAGGCAGGGGTATCAATTTCAGCAGATCAAAGCAGGAGAGAGCTACACAGAGCACAGAGGCCTAAGCACTCATCTCACAGCTCTGTGGCTTTGTCGGGGAATCCGGGGCAATTTACTCCAGACTAGGCATCTGCTAAGGAGATGCTACCATGGCCTCAGGTTCGGTGGATTCCTTCAGCAGCAGAAATCCCACCTGGACATCACGGGAATGGTTCTGAAAAGGCCCGGGGACACTGTGTAGGCTTTCGCCCCCCCACCGCAGCAGACCCTGCTGCTCTGCACACTTGGTCTCACACTCATGCCCCAACTGAGGACACGCATGGCAGCAGCAATGGAGACAGGAAGCCAAACACCTGGCTCCTGGGTTTTTAGTAAAAGAGATGGCTGGGAGACAGGAGGGGCTCTGGAGCGTTCTCTCACCTTTCCATGGCCTACAAACACTGGGGGAAGTCAGCCTGTGGACAAGAAGCTACTGGGCATGGAAAATAAGAGGGTGCCCCCTGACCTTTGGGGTACTGCTTCTGTGGGATGCTCACACCAAGACAACAAGATCCCTCTGTCTAAAAAATAGCAAACCCATAACCAAAGATTAAAGGGGCCAGTATAAGTTTTTAAGAGTCCATATGCATAGGTAAAGGCTACATAATAAGCAACAATGCCAGATAGGAGATACCTTCTTTTGAGTTGTTGGCCAGGGTGGCCCAAAGGGACTCCCAGATAGTAACCCAGCATAGAACTGGGAAAATGAACAGCAGACCCCAATCTTATCTAAAGGAATATTGACAACTGATTACTGCTAGATGAGGAACAGCTGACCTTCCTAAAACAAAGACCTCTAGATAGGCTGACTAGATGCACCAGATGGACAAGTAGTGGGGAACAGCTGGGGATGCCGACAACACAGTGGACAGTAGCAGGGATAACAGAGTGTAAGGGCTCTAGTGGGAAGAGGGAGGGTGTGAGAGGGTGCCGTTTGGGAAGTAGGTGTATAGTTGAGTAAGATGGTTTGGGATGTTCTGTGTGATATACAACACAGAAAAAAAATCAACAAATTTTAAAAACTGTATTATATTTAAGGAGGAAACATAAAAGTTTAATCATGTTAATTAGTAGAGGTGATAAACATTACCATTGAAATCTACCCGATGATTTTTTTAGACATACACAGGTGCCAAGGATCTGAGTGCAAATGATTATGACTAATAATAATCAGATACATACAGATTAGAGATGCATGTGCCAACATCTCAGTGTTATGAGCAAAAACAATGAGTTTTTCTGTAATAAACAGTATATTTTAGAATGAAACGGAGATCTTTTTTGAAGATTAAAAACTCATTCAATTTTATTTCTTACAGGGCTTATACTGAGTTCAATATTGTATAACTGTATGGATTCAACAGTGAACTAGAAATGTGATAGCCACTTTTGAAGGAGCTATGTCTTTGCTCTGGAAACTGTTATAGGGCATGGTAAAGCTGTAATGATATGCTTCTAAAAAAATAAAAGATAATATTAAAAAATGTAGGAAACAGCATATCTTGAAATGGAGATCTTTAAAGGGTAAAAACTCATTCAATTTTATATCTTACAGGGTTTATACTGAGTTCAATATTGTATAACTGTATTAATTCAACTGTGAACCTAAAAATTTATAGCCACTTTTGAAAGAGATGTATCCTTGCTCTGGAGTGTGTTACTGAATATGTTAAAGCTGTAATGAAATGCTTCTTCTAATCATGTGGTTATTAAATTTTTTTAAAAAATAAAAAAAAGCAACCCCTCAGGTGAGCATAACAGTTGCATCAAAACAAAACAAAATACTAAAAATTGGAGCCAAGAAGATGGCTTAGTGGGTAAAGGTGTCTGCTGTCAAGCCTGAGTTCAATCCCCAGGACCCACATGGTAGAAAGAGAGAACTGACTCTCATGGGTTGTCCTCTGACCTCCACATGCACAACATGGCATGCGCATGAATGCGCATGCACACACACACACACACACACACACACACACACATGCATACACACACACAAATAAAATTTAAAAATTTTAAGTGGGGGCCACTTCTCCCTGAGGATGGGGTACTGACTCCTCAGGGCCTCTGGCTATGAATATCAAGTACTATTAACAAATATGGATATCCAAAACAGTTATATCTGTATTTTTACAATCTGTAACTGCTTAATACAAATGTTTCCAAAGAACTGTGTGCCTAAATTGAGACAGATGCTCCCGGAAGAGCTGTCACTCGATAGAAGAGCTTTACTTGGCTTGGCGCAGCTGAGGGCAAAGTAAGAGCTGAGGGGAGGAAGTTAAAGAAACGTAAAAATCTGACTCTATTTAAGGAAGCGCTTTCTAACAATCTGTGTTCTCCAAAAATGGAATTGGCCCACTCCAACAGTAAAGTATTCCAGCAGGCCCGGGTGGCAATCTGTCAGGGACAGGGGAGCCGGCCAGCACCAGGGCGGAGGGCCTGTGTGCTCTGGGAGTGTGTGAACAGATGAACTGATCACAGCTCAGAAAAGCTGAGCACACTGGTCAGAAGATGCAGCTCAGACTTCCAATCCCAAGCTGTGTCTTTCCTCCTTCTAAGAAAGTAAAGAAAAAAGGGGAAGTCATTCCAAAGGAACTTCTCTATAACCTCGGGGGCTCGCTTTGCCTGAGATCTATTTTTAATTTCTGTGCATTCTGTGGTTTGCCAGAATCCTGAAAATATATTTTTTCAAAAAGACAAAACATGTCAACAATAAACTATAAAGATTTTAGGTTAGGAGAGGCTGAGCTGGGAAGGAAAAGAAAATCAGTAAAACTAGGTTCAGGACAACCCTAAAGCACATACCCACTATGATGCCCTCCTTTCTTTTTTAAAAAATATTTCATTTATTATTCTTATGTGTATAAGTGCCTGCTTGTATGTAAGTGCACCCATGTCATGCAGTGCCCACAAGTCAGAAGAGAGCGTTGGATTCCCTAGAACTGGAGTTATAGATGGTTGTTAGTTGCCACGTGGGTGCTGGGACTTGAACCCAGGTCCTCTGCTAGAGCAGCCAGTGCTCTTAACCACTGAGCCATCTCTCCAGCCCCCGCCCTCCTTTCTTTACATAGTTAATTAAGAGCCAAGAGTAGGGCAGGAACATTTCTTTCAAGTGACTTGCTTAAGCAAAGAACAAACAAAAACCAGAGAGAAAAGCGTTCAGTGGGAGAGACCTACAAAGCTAAAGGCAAACGAAACTGCTCCCTCAGGCTCAGAGTCCACAGGGAGCCCACTCTACCTTAATTTTCTCTCCACATCCTGAGAAAAATCCATCACAAAGATGTCCCAATAACTGAAGGCTTTCAATAACTTTGAACGGTGAGTTCAGACTTTCAGGATTGTAGAAGGAAGGTATTTTGCAACACCCACCACTTTTGAAATATAATTTTCTTTTCCGTTTTCCTATGTATCTGTCTCCCTGCCCTTAACTAAACAAATCCTCTTGTTTGTTATACAAAGGAAAGCCTGCACATGTAGCCCAGGTGATGATACTGATTCATTTTCACAGCAAATCTGGTGGCACCAGCTGTGAACAACCTCATACTCGCATGAGGAGGCAACAACTGGCAAGGTGTCAGCTCACATCACTGCTCTTCCACAGAGCCCTCACACTTACTTCTGGATTGTCTGAAGCATGGTTAGCGAGCTGAACATGCAGGTAGGGCTGGCCAATGTGATGTCCTGACCAGGTGAATATCGATCAGATACGGCTTGCATGTACCCAGTCCCCCAGGGTCCCTGGGTTGAATTTATTTCCCACTGCGAGGTAGTAAGAGGGTAGAAACTGAATCCTACTATGGTGTTTAGAGGTTGGGCCTTTGGATGGTGAAGGTTAGATATGGCCATCACAATAGACCATGCACAACCGAATACTGGTGGCTTTATACCAGGAAACATATAGAGATACTCCCAGTCTCTTGCCATGTGATACTCACACCACAATGAAACTCTGTCAGCAAGAAGGCAATACTGATATAGCTACTAGACCTTGAGCCATAAGTATAAGCCACATTAAACCCTTTTGTCTGTAAGTTACCCAGCATCAAGTAGTTTGGCACAGTGACATAAAACAGACTAATACACTAGAGGAAGAAAAGAAGTGTGAATGGGGAGAAACAGAATGCTAAAATTGAACAGAGTTTCTGGAGGTATCTATATGAGAGGCTTCAGATGTCGCCTAGCTACTCAACTATACATTAACTAACTGCCTGAAATTGTGGTATAAAATGTATTACCAACCTGGATGGGGAACATGGTCTTGCTTTCTCTTTCTGTGTGTATAAAGTCCAAATGTATGGGATTTTGTAAGCAAAAAGGGTTGATAGGTTAATAGGCAAAGCTAGGACACCTTCCCATGATTCTAAGTCAGGGTCCCCTAGAGTCTGGATGCAAGGGGACAGACGCCTGTGAGGGCATCCACAGCACAACCCCCCGCCCACAACCTACAAAGTCAAGCAAGCCCTTCCTGAATACTGTCCTCCCCTCCCTGCCTTGGCAGTGGCCTGGCCGTGGGCTGTGTGCCAGGCAGGACATGGGTACTCACCTAGCGTGTCCTTGAGGTTCTTCACCAGGGAGCCCTTCTTCAGGCTGTTCTTGCGCTCCACGTAGTTGGATGGCACGTAGCCTGTCCTGTTGGCTGCATTGCGTACCCGCCACCACGTCTTGGAGTCATCAAGAAGCCACAGGCGCTCGTTCTTCTTGATGTCCAGCTCCTGGTCCTGCTGGGCGGTGTAGTCCCACTTGGCTATGACAATGACTTCTTCTGTCATCTTTCATGGAGTCCTTCTGCCAACAGAACATTTAAAGATGCTCATTAGCCACCTGAACACTGCACCTCTGACCGATTTGAAAAATTAGGCAATGACAGCTCGTAGGACCACGTTGCCCTTAGTTTTCTCCAGGCCTTGAAAGGCTCACCCTTGAAATGACCTTCTAAAAACCCCGAGTACTTGCTGAGAAGCAGCACCTTATAAAACAAACCCTCTATTCCTGCCCCATATGCATTAGCAATCCTGCATGTTCTACTAAAACCAGATGCAAACTGGCAAAACACCCAAAATAGCAATCTTATAATTAAAGCACTCATTTGACTAAGTAGCACCGGCTCCTTATAGCTGATAGGTTTACATTCATTTTCTCAGCATATGCCGAGGGTTTTGAACATATTTAGTAAATATAACACACCCAAACTACTCCTATAAATTCAAATTCAAATTAATGTACTCCTAATGCGGTGTGGTGCCCTGCAACAAATCATAAAATAGAAAAAATGCTGAAATGTAAATGAATCTTCAACATCAGTAATGTGCCCATGCTGCTTTGTTGGTAATATGATGTATTATGTTAACGCTGGAGAAATAAGCTAACACGTATACAAGAATGTCCTACACCATTTTTATAACTTTTCTCTAAGTATGAAATTATTCCTGAAAACTGGTCTCACACAAAAACCTGCACACAGATGTTTGAGACGACTTTGTTCTTAATTGCCCAAACTGGGAAATAACCAAGGTATCCCTTTGTAGGTGGATGGAAAAACAAACTGTCCACCAGACAATGGACCATATAAGTGCTAGAGGGGAATAAGCTTTTGAGAGCCAGGGAGAGCCAAGGAAGAAAAGCAAAAGCACCCCAGGAAGCAAAGGTCCCAGTCTGCAATGATGCACACAGGTTCAGACACAATCCTCCTTTGACAAGCTTGAGTGAATGTCCTCTGAGTCCTTTCTGAACACCTTGGCTTCTGTATTCATTGCCGCATCACCCAGGGTTAGCTAGACTACTCCACCCTGGCATCTGATCTGGTTCCTTCACCTCCCACTCGCCTGCAGGTGGTGTCTGGTCACCTGGCCTCCTATAGCAAGAATCTGGTTAGGTCAGCTCAGCCAGGATCCCTGAACTCTCCCACATTTCCTCTACCTCTGGCTGCATACTCCCAATTGTCCTTGTACTGGGAGTTGAACTGTTTTTTGCCCAATGGAAAACTCCACAGCAGAACCCCTGAACAGTCTACCTTGCAGCCCTTGAACTAGTATCCTGAATAATAATTCCACTGTACAACTTTCTGAAAAGGCAAAAGTCTGTGGAACATAGGGTCAGTGGTCATCAGGGTGGGCAGGGAAGCACACAGTGAACATTTAACAGCTACATTGTACACATCAAAATACACACCAAACGTGAACATAACAGAATTACTCCAAAATACAGTTTATTAAAACCACAAAGAAGATGTAAACCTAGTAAAATCAATTTGAGAAGTAGTAAATAGCAAACAAATACGGTTATCACCTACTTCAGCAACCCCACACTTCTCAAAAGATAGCCAAGTGCTCTTCTAGTACAAAAATTCAATATTCAATTCATCTATTGACTGGACATTTCCAAAAATCATGGGAGTAAGAAATGACAAAAAGACACTTGAATCAAAACCCCTCTCCTGAGAGAGTTCTTTGCACTGAGCTCAGTACTTTAGAGGAATGCTATGTCCCTGACCCCAAGGAGACATGAATAATATGAGAATAATATGGCACTTTCTTCTATGTATTTATACACATATGAATAAACATTTCTTCTCATTTCTGAATTCCCATATTTGAAGATAATCTTTTGGGAAGGAAAAAATGCCTGTAAACCACCTGTACATAATGTCCCAGAGGGTGAAGCTTACATAAGGCTTCTCTTAAAATTGGAGACAATGTGCTATCTACAACCAGAAAACCTCAAGTTCATGCCATGCAGTGCATACGCCTGCTTATCCTGTCAGGTGAGACTTGTGAACGTCATCAAGGCAGGAGTGATAGCAGGAACAGAAATGGGGCTCAGAGAGTATTCCATTTGAATACCAGCTTTGTTTCCGAATTACACAATTTCTGAAACAGTTTTAAACAGGAAAAGAGCATCACTTAGCTCAGTCAAGATTCAGCCAACCAAAGCTATCTATTAAATTCTCTTCTGCATGAACAGTAACTTAGGGAGGAGCTGGCCGAGTAAATTCATTTCAATGTCTGAGTGTCACATAGTTTATAAAAACACCACATCATGGCGGGATGGGGGGATGGCACAGAGTGGAGCCAGTCCAAGAAAAATGCACATTTGCTGCAAGCAACAGAACTGGAAGGGCAGGGCTCCCCCAAGGCAGCTAGAGTTCAGATGAGAGCCGTGGATCTGTATGATTTGGTGTTTACCTTGCTGGGTTTGGGTCTTGCTTTGGTCTGATCTTTCCTTGCTAAGCCCCAAGTCCTCCCTTCTGGTAACCTTTACTAAATGCTATCATATACTGGAAGCACGTAACTTGCTTTTTGATTTTACAGGGATTCATAGTTAAGCATTTGTCTCCAGTCTTAGAAAAGACTTTGGACTTCTGGACACTGTTGAAACAGAACTATAGGAACTTTGGAAGTTGGAGTGAATACATTTCCCATTACGAGATAGCCATGGGCCTATGAAGGCCACAAGCGAAGTGTTAGGGTTTAAAAGATGTGTTTGAAACCTGGTGTGAGCTGCAGCACTCTCTGTGAGATCAGGGCTAGCCTGGTTTATACAGCAAGTTCCCAGTCAGCTGGGGCTACAGAGAGACCCTGCCTCACAAAGACTAATAAATAAATAAAAGATGTGTTTGGGTGCCAAGTTAACTTGTGATGACTAATTTCAATTGTTGACCAGACTAGATTAAAAAACCCTCTGGCATTAATGAGGCACAGAGATGGGTTGAGCATGTTTGTGAGGGTGTTTTCAAAGAGGTTTAATTGAAGAGGGCAGACACACCCTGAATATGGGTAGCACCAATCCATGGACTGTACTGAATACAAAGAGATTTAAGAGAAAGGCCACTGAGCCCTGGCATTCCCCTTCCTCTGCTTCTTGGTCAGTGCCCTAGGCCAAGCTGCTCCAGCTGCTGGGCCTTCCTTCCCTACTAAGATGGACTGCATTCCTCTGAACTAAGAAGCCAAATAAACCCTTTCTTCCTCTGGGGTGGGTACCACTTCCTGAGCTCTCCCACTGCCAATCATACGAGACTCTCCTGGAAAGGACAGGGGTTCAGGACACTTTCCAGGTGATTCTCAGGGGCCTTAGAATGGAACCAAGAAAAAGCAACTCAGCCACTAACTACCTCCCCCTGATGGATGCACCCGATGGATGCACCCGGGTCGTACCTGTGGGCACTACAGCAGCAAAGGGGGAACACTCTGTCTAGGACTCAGCTTCTTAAACTGGTGGTTGTGAAACCACGGGGCTGTACAGTAGAGGACGAGGATCATGAAAAACTTGGCAACATTAAAACGTTTCTGAATGTGCAAACCAAAAGTAATTCATGATCAAATGTGTAACAAGCCCGACGACGTATTTCCTGCAGTTCTCACACGGGCTGCATCACACAACCTCACTGCAGCCTTGGTTCTAAACAGACATGGGCATCTACACTGAGCATGCCATCATACCACACAACACCTAAAACTCCTCAGCTCAGATTCCAGTATTGCCTGTTAGGAACTGCAGTGCTTCTGTCATCTGTACATTCTTCTATTTTTATAGAAACATAATGGTTTAATCACAGAGAAGCAAGACAATATTCCCTTTCTGTCTGTCCTCAGCATGGAAGTATCAAATTAGCATACTTTGGGATTGTATTACATTAGAATATCTGTTTAAAAATGCTATTAAGTTGTTGGCCCGGGTTTCATAAAACATTGTTAAATAAATTTTGGCTTGGTAATCCCAACAAAATCTCCCAACAATTTCAAAAATGGCCCTAAACACACTTGTGCCATAGTGTACAAGGTATTTATGTGAAGTGGCGGTCTGATCATTGATGACTATAAAATCAAACTATCAATCAACTTTGAAAAATGTTGAAGATGCTCTTTGTCCTGCAGAATCAAATATTCAGCCAAGATTTAATTCCTTAGGTAAAAATAAACCAGCACATAATCTCATTAATATGCCACTTGCTTTCTATTGAAAATGGATTGTGAATAGAAAAGGTTTAAGTAATCATGGTGTGAGAAGTAAATTTTGGGTACCTGATGGACATATGATACCCATCATTTAATAGATCCATCCTTTAGGGCAGCATCTTTGAAGAGGCCGAGAATCAGAGATTAAATGATCTGTACAGCTACAGAGCCAGGATCTTCACCCAGGTCTGTGGCTCCCAAATCTGTACTCAGCATTCTGATAGGCATATCCCAAGCCAGGAAATCTAGGATTCTTGGATACACTGGAATTAAAAGTTCCAATACAACCTAAAAAATGACTGGCTATCCTTGGCCAGAGCAATGGGTTTTATTCCTATTCTAGGTGAGTTTTGACTGTCATCAAGAAAAGTAACTTGGGAGACTAGTCAATCAACAACCACCTCACCCCCATGAGACTACTTCAGAAGGCCAATGGAAACTGACTCACTCTAGGGAAGTCTGCCAATCAAAAACTGCTTCATTCCAGTGAAGGTGCTTCAGAGGGAAGGCCAATCAACAGTGTGTGGTGGAGTCACAGACACAACCTGACATCTCTGTAGTTACAATCAACAGATCCATAAATACTTCTACCTTGAACTCTAAGAACACAGGCAGCAACACTTCCCCAAACCAAGCCCACATCTCTGCCCAGGAGACCAGTCCTTCCTCAGTGAACAGGGCACCTGATCCACTTCTCATGCTGAGCTGTGGCTGTATACAGATAACAAGATAATAAAATAAAATTCTGTCTCCTCGGAGATGACCTATCTTTCCGCTCTTTGCCAACACAGGCTGGAGGGTGCAGCTGGAAGCCTGTTCTCAAGAGACTTGCAT